CGAGTCCCGCCGTGGGTGCAAGATCAAAACGGATCTCCAATCCAGTCTAGATGGAATACTTTTTGGTAAATAAGGCTATATAAAGTGGAATGGGCACGCAAGCCATATTCATATAATTATCGGACAATTCAACTACCAATCCTGTCACATACATCTCGTATATTTGGTTGACTGTTTGTCTAAAAAGCCTACTTCTAAAACGAAAATGCAATTTAATTGTTGTGGCTTGATGCTAAGAATAGCAATGCTCACTGACGACGAAATGTCTGCGAATATACCAAGTCCACGGACGTCGGGAATTACGATGACTACTATAACAGACGACTTCGGACAAGTCGCATCCAACAAGACGGCCATGACAACACGACAAAGTTGCGAAAACGAGGTAAAATCACTTTTATATAGGGAAAGGGAATCACGGACAAAACAGAAGGTGCAACATTTGGGTTTTTAATTATAAAAAAATAAGCCAAAGTTTAGTTTGAATGACTACTTGCTCTGGCTTGAGCCTGGTAACTCTGTCCAACCAGTATTTCGGCCTGAAGTGACCATAAGAAGACGAGTGGCTACTTTGGTATCAAAAAGTTTATTGTCTGAAACATTTAAGTCTAATTCGATCCTGGCGGCTTAGCTTGACTTGTAACTTTTGAAGAACAACTTCACTTCTTTCACGTCAAGCTGACCGTCGCCATTGGTGTCGTTTTCTTTGATGAATAAATTTATAGTGTCTACGGGATATTTGCATCCGCACTGTTCCAAGGCCAACTTTAGTTCATCTGCTGTTATTTTTCCGGAGCCATCTTTGTCTATCGACTTGAAAAGCCTCTCAATTGCGGAGTCGCTGCAAAATAAAATTTAACGTTTAGACAGTAGTGGGTCTAGTATTAGCAGTGTAATGCTTCTTTTCACTTCTTTGTAAGTAGCGCCGAATATTCATCGCGAGGTCAAGGCCTAGTTGCCATGACGATGCGGCTCGGATAAAGCCAATGTCAAGAAGAAATAGGTATAACATGTGCTGCCATATAAGAAGAGTAAACTGTATGCTTTAGGATATTAAAATGGTGGAATCTTGTGGAGAGGATGCTGATTGAAAATTTATCTTCAATCTGTTGGATCAACAGAACTCATGTTCTATTTTGATGCCAAAATAGTTCACGAAAAACATGTTGGTGTGCACTATACCATCAACTGTTGCCGGCATCGCTGTCATTTGTGTGTGTGAGTGTGTGCATGTGCTTATGTGGTGAGATGCATGTCCTGATACGGTGTAGTGACTATTTTTCAAATAAATGCCTATCCAGAGTGGAATAGGAAATTTTTGCGGAAGTATACTGTTGGTCGTGTTGAAATGCAAACTATGGTATGGAAGTGCATTAATAATATTGATAATGTGGATGATGAGGAGTAAGAGTAGAATGACAGAGTACAGAAAAGAAAAGGTCCGTGTACCAAAGATCTGTCTACACTGAACTGATAGTAATGCTGGTAAGATGCTCATTTAACCTGGTAGTAAACGCGGTAAAGAGAAATGGTCAAATATAAGCGAATGGCAAATAGATAATTACTTACTCCGACATGCTTTCCTGACTGAATTGAAGAGAAAATGGAGATACCCGACGCAACCTGTCAACTATTATACCGAAAATCTTGCTTAGCTCTTGATCACGATATCAGAGGATAGTAGTCTCGACTTAGACACTGCATTCTACATAACGCCATTGGTCGTCATGTGTGCACAACGGTGCCGCCTGCGAGCAGAGGCTCAGGTTGAGACAGAGACACGTGAGGGTGGATAGAGAGCGAGAGGCCTCCGACGACAAAGGGGCCCAGAGACCGGCCGAAAGGGTGAGGAGACGAAGCAACTTTAATGGTCTCTGAAGGACGTAGAGATAGCCGGTGAAGCATGTGCCGACTGTAGAAAAGAGCTCATGAATTTGTCCACTCGAGCCATTTCGGTGCCTCCTCTCTTTGACTCACCATAGGGTGGAAAATGGAAAAAGAAATGGATTTAGATTGAGAAAGAGAAAGAGAAACAGAAAGAGAAAGGAAAAGTGAAAGATAAAGAGAAAGAGGAAGAGACAGAGAAATGGAAGAGAATGATGGCAATAGAGACAGACAGACAGACTAATTTTGCTTCATCTTCACGCAATCAAGTTCGAGACGAGGTTACAAGTGGTACCATCTCGGCCGTTAATCCCGGCATGTGATCAACCCCACGAGCGTACCATTAGCCTCCAACAGCTTAGCTCTTTTACTCTAGAGATGAGCTTAACTTTTGGCTTCTGAGCTCCGCCGTCGATTCTGGCCTCAGCCTATACCAGGCAATGGATGGCATCAAAGTTACGTAGTCTGCGTCGAACTTTAATTTCCGCTAGAAAGTTGGTTGGAGGGAATTCTCTGATTGGCAGAAGTAGGATTGCAATGAAAGTGGAATGAAGACTGGTGAATTCTGCAAATAAGTCCGATGAACCCGGTTTGAAGGTTCATCTATGATGTGGCAGACAGAGTAACGTGAGCAATAATGTATCGAGAAAAACGGGCTGTAAAGCTACTCATACTGCCTAATTTTCTGGATTTAACGAGACGATTTATTAGTTCATTGAGTTCTTTAAGAATATCCAGCCAAACCAGCAAATACCTCAAGATCCAATTCAAAATCTGCATCAACATCTATATTCATATATATATCCAGATTATAATCCGCATCCACATCCACATTAATAACGACATCACAATCCACATCCTCATCATCATCTTCATCTACAGCTACATTCACATCTACTTTCACATCAATATACGCATTAGTATCTACTTCATTACCCATAGCAACAATCACGTTAACATCCCTATCACCATCCTTTTGAAAATCCTTATCAACATCCATATTAAAATCTAAATTCACATTCAATCACCACCTACATCCATATCCACATAAACATCCACATCATCATCCACTTCAAGTTCCACTATAACATCCTCATCAACTTTTACCTTATAAATCACGTAAACATACACATCAATATCCTCGACTAGCTCCACATCATCAGCCACATTAACACCCATATCAGCATCCATTTTTAAGTCGTCATCCACATCAATGTTAACATCCATATCAGTATCCACATACTTATCCCCAATCAATGTCTACATAAATATCCATATTATCATCCACATCACTATCCATATCCACCTTTCATCCACATCGGAATTTGAATCTAAACTTGCATTAGCATCCACATCATCTTTCTTATCTACCTCTACTCGCACATGCACATCCTCATCGTCTTTATACATCAATCTCACTTATCTGCTATTATGTAGATTTAATATGAAGATCGCCAATGAGCCATAAGATGGTTTGCATCAACTCTGAAGTACAGTGCATAACCCAGATTAGTGCAAAA